AAGTTCATGTGGAATTGTTTTCGAAGTGTTGAGGGAGCATTGAACAGTGATCATAACCCTCCCATTATTTTAGTGACCGGCCCGAATCACCTTGACACGAGCTATTCTCTTGCTTGATTTAGGTGTTTTGTGTGCGTGAACACCTTTGACACGTCTGCTCCAAAAAAAGCAAATACGATTCCATGCAATTTATAGTTAATAAAGTTAATGATCTATATATATATATATTTAACTGGCATGTTCAGCGGCCGTTGGTCTCACTAACTTCACGTCAAATCCCTCGAGATCGCGTGCCACGAGTGATTTCTCTTAATGATGTGGTTACACCCTCATCATCCTCAATCCCCTCCGCATCTCCCATGGTTCCTCCATCGTACCAAGAGGCACCTGCGGAAGTGCCAAAAGATGATGTTGAAAATCACCAGAACCAAATCTCTCCTACACTCACTCACAAGCCCTCACTCTCTAGTTTTCCATGGTTGGTTTCTTATCATGGCTTGTGTAGTGATAGTAATTGTCTAAGCATGGGAATGGGAGTCATATTGCATGTACTCATGTATTTCATTGCATGCCTTGTTTCTTTTTCTGCTATGTCCCTTTCCTCACTGAAAGCAGTCACCGACTCCACTTTCCGGCACCCAGAAGTCATTCTCCTTCTCTTCAAATCGTTTTGAATTGTCTCCTATTCCGTCGTCGTCTAGTCCTGCAAATTTGTCGGAGAACGGAGTTACTCGTTCATCATCGATGCGAGCGGCATATGCCGCGCCATACACGATTGCTAGTAGCAGTGGAAACGGAGGCGCTGGGACAAGAACTACTCCTGGCCGACATAATAGCTGTTCGACTGCTCCTTCTTCTTTATTTTCCTCGCCGGCTATTTCATCAAAGTCTTGGTAGACCCTTATGTTTCTCTGTTACTGAGCTACCTGATTGTTGGTCTCATTTTTGTGTTTCCTATTGTTTGTCGTAGACCATCGTATAACTGCCCTGCTAGTTTCTAATTTATAGAGACGCTGGTCGCATGCTTTAGGAGAATGTTTTGCAAATTAGTTGGGTGCTCTTTGGAATAATACCATCCATATTGTGATTGGCAGTTGCCTAAAAGGTACCCTGTTTCACTTGACCTTAGTTATTAAGAATAGCCACTGGCACTCTCGTTGGCTAACTTTGCTTGTGTTGCAAGCCTGAGGCCACTGTTTCCATCGGCTCTCATCTAATGAGCATAACGACCAACCTCACTAATGAGCTAAATCTAATTTCTTTTGGTTGATTTTAGCGCTCCCTCCTTCTCCCCTTTAAGATGTAACAACGCTGTAAATCGTAGACTTGAATTTCAGCTGTGATTAACACCATGCTTTAAGCTAGTTTTTATTCGAAATGGCTTTTGCCTAATATACTTTAAGGAGACAGTATCTTTCTTATAGATTGAAGGTTACTTTTTCTCTTTGTATGGTGGTATTGTTTAGTCGAATTGATCATTTAGCTCAATTTAATGAAACATCCTTAGGCTCTATCTTCAACCATATTCTCTCGTAATGCCGCTATCGTAGATGACAATTAGTTTGTGTGGCGTTTTTTTCTCTTATCTAAATAAGCTCGAATATATGTGGGTGAACGGGAATGCAAATTTTCATGTGCATGTATATGCCTGGCGCAACTACACATCTACTTTTCACTTATAATTCCACTTATTTTTTCCATCAACACACAGGTACTACGGGGAGATGGATCGAGCAGAGGCGACCCAATTATTGAAAGGTTGTGAGAATGGGACTTTCCTGGTACGTATCTCAAAGAATGTCTCGAGAATGGGCGAGTATTCCCTTTCTGTGGTATACCAACATCCTCGACACATCCGCATTCAACGAACACCAGACTCCTACTTTTATCTTTGCTCCCCACAACGCTTCGATTCTCTTGAAGTAAGATCTTAAATGTGCCCTTGTTTGACTTAAGACAGATCATAGATTTCAGGGAAACTAATGAAGAAAATTACCTAAAACACATCCGTCTTTACCCTGTACTACCACTCAGACTCGAATGGTAATGTTCTCAGTTGTTGATTAGATGCTGGGGAAGTATTATTTGTATCTACTTCCAATTCATTGAGACATTGTTGTCGAAGCTCCCCATTCATGATCAACATTGTTTACTTATATATCTATTGCTCACACCATATGTTTTTTTTCAAGTAATTCCGTAACAAATATCGGGAACAATTTTCATTTTGGCATGATTTACAAATTTGCTTAATTAATTAATTATTAACATTTATGGTTGTATTTACTTCGTTATTGAAAGTTATTTGCTTAAAGGTAAAGCTTCGCGGCAACACGGAAGTGTTAACGCAAATTGTATGTGCCCTAGTCTGGTTCCCATTTGTTTGTTTGCTGACATGTTTTTTTTTAACCGCTGTTTGTTCTATAATCGACTCAAACCCGAGATGATTTGGTTCAAGTTAAATCCTCTCTATGTTGTGCTGTTTTAAGGTACTTCCCACTGAGATGTTAGTATGCAATGAAAATTATACCATTTTACCAATGTGAAATAGTTCACTACGATCTTTCTGGAACTTTGTGGACGAGCTTTTCACATATGTCCAATTCGTCATCTCTTCTACCAAGCTCGAAGATCTATCTTTTCATTGCTGTCTCTCTGTTGAATTGTTTTAATATTTCAAATGCATAATTATTACCATGGCTTTGGGTCGATTAAGATCGTTCGTCTCTCAAGAGTAGCAATAAAAATTTAAGAAATATAGCGGACAAAGTAAATCCTTCTTTCCATTGGCACATTCCCAACTTTCCAGAGATTTGTGACCGCATATACAACTTGCGGAACAGGAAACAGTGGACTGGCACTAAGTGATAGAGGATTTATTTGGCAAACACAGGGAAGAGGAAGAAATGGGAAGAAGTTGGAATATGGGTGGGACCCGAGTTATGCTTTTCTGGTCGAATTAAGTTGGCGAGTTTGTATCCCTTTCTTTCGTTGTTAAAACACCAGCACCCAACAGTTAGGAGTCATTGTTTACTTTCGCAAGACTGATACAAACTCCCATCTCATCATCTTCCTTGTCAACGGGCTTTGGCAAGTACAGCCATCCAGTCATTCCCATCACTGTGCTTACACCGATGTTATTTATGGCTTTGATGGATTGTTAGTTATCAATTGCTGATTGTTGTCGCCGTTTCATGAGGCAGCAAGTGCCAAATTCTCATATTCCTTTTACCAAATCATCTCTCTTCCTACATTCCAATTTGTCTGCTTCCATTGCGGCATCCTCTGCAAATATGCGTGTTTTGCTACTCCCTCCCATCTTCCCTGATGTGCGTGTCTTGACTTTTGAATTTTCCATTCGGATTCTGCTCCATTAATGTCTTTACCTGAGAAAAAGTACTACGTGTGTCTTCTCATGCCTTTGAGAAAAAATTATTTATTTATTTCAAATGGCAGGCATTTTGAATGTTATCATTAGTCCTTTAGCAGACTTCGGACTTCATAGAGGGAGGAACATCATAGTGGGGAAAAATTGAGAGAGGGAAAAGAAGAGTGATTCACAGATGTAAAGAGACAGATGGACACAAACGCAGAGAAAAGGTAAGACGAGTACTGTTGAAGTGGTCGAATTCGACTTATAGTGGGGTCATGATAATTTGAAGTCAGAAGTCAACTGCCGAAAGGTAGACTTTTTTGCCGTATGAGTATACGTTGCCCAGGGTGCACCACGTGGAGGTAAGTCTATCGGCCCTCCTCTTTTAGAAAAATAAAATCTGATTAACTGCGACCGAAATCCTATTGTGCAAGATCTTAATAAATGGCAGTGTAGGTCGGTACTAAAGAAAGCTGCGATTCCCATTTTTTATTTTGTCTGACGGCTGTAGTAGTATGATCCTGCTAATTTGCATAAAGTTGTTAGGCTACAAACAGCATTTGAAGATTAAGATCCGTGTCGCATGCTACCTATTCGATTCTACTAGGTCTTGTTAAAGCTTATTGCTAAATATGAATTCCTTTTCCACAAGAGGTTAGGGATTTGAGGCAAATATCTCTGCGAGCGCGCATACTCGTGGAGTGCAAAGTTTCTGCGAAATACATAAACTCCAAAGTTCGTTGTTATACGTTATTGGGCGGTAAATCTGTCGCTTCCCTCCCTCCCTCCCTCTCTCCCCTGACCTCAAATTTATACCTCCAAGTTACTGGGGCGTAAAGTTCGTTCCACCCCATGCATGCATGTGCTGTATTGCATTGCCAAGGTGAAAGGGTTCATTTTCGGCTTGACACACACACACACACACCGGGTTTGTCATATGCTGTGAAGCTAAAACTTGGAATAGGAGTGGAAAGTCGATCTATTTGCGCAGTCGTAAATATGAAAGCTTCAACTCCCGAATAACATGCCTTAATTTGCCATTATCAATATCGATTTATAGATTTGAATGACCAATTGATTCGGACAAGACATTAACGTGCTGGAAAGGCGTTTTTTCTCTTGGAGAGAGACCTTGTATTCTCTTAGTATTGTTTTAAATTACTGCAATGAATATGCTTTAATGAGGAAAAAAAGTGATGCATATGGAAGTCAACTATGTTTGAGAAGGGTTAATTCATAACTTTTACTTTTTTCTCTGTTAAAGTTATCCTATTTTTGGATAGTTCCAATGTTTTGAAAGCCTTGAAACGTTTGTGATTAATTAGTTAATCGATTAAGGAGTTATAACCTATCCCTATCTTTGCTTATTTTTTTCAGGCTCTTGTGGATTACTACTGCCGTCACTCCCTGAATGAGTGCTTCGATGAGGTCCAAACTCGCCTTCGGTTCCCATATCAGCGCTGCCCTGGTAAGTTGAGGTTTCGGGGAAAGAGGTCCTTCAAGCGTCAGGTTTTATTTCAAAATTGGCTCTACAGGAAAGCGGTTAATCATGCAGTCGCCTTTAGATTCACCATTTTCCTATTGACAACTTGGGATATTTTGAAAATTGTCATAATCGTAGACTGTTTTTGGTTGAAAGGAGGCTTATAAACTAATAGTTGATTACTCCACCGAATCTTTGTCTTCAGTCAATTCGATTAAATCTTTGAAAAGACCTAGAGTGGAATGGAGTGGAGTGGATTATCTTGTAGATGTCATAAGAAGGTTGAAGGAAAAAATGTTTGGTATTAAGATACTAGGGTTTACTGAGGGAAGTATTTTTTGAATAGAATTTTTTTGGTAAAAATAGATAGAATAAAGTGATACGAAAGTGTATGAGTGCAAGGGTATAAAGGTAAACCGCACTGCTACAATTTCTACTTTCGTCACTAAATTGTGGCCGGGTATATCTCAGGTCCTTTCCTCCCGTCAGTCTACTGTACGCCGATGCTCTTCTTCATGCGGACTGCCAGAGGTGCTAGCTTATCCTACCACCAATTCAAATGTGTTTGTGGCTTAGGGTTTGAAAGTAGCTACATTCAAATAGTCGAATGTGAAAGCATGGGAGTATTCTCGAATGTGCAGCAAACGAAATAGTTTCATCTAGGCTGTTATGTAATTCTATTTACGTTTCTTTTAAGCAGAAAGCAGTGTACTTTTCTACGCACGAGCTCAATACGATTTTGAGGGCGATTCCAATCCGCTGATGTTACCATTAAGCTGCGGTGACATCGTACATGTTATCAGCACTCGCGCAAAGGAACAGGGTTGGTGGAAGGGGTGGCTGAATGGTCGAATTGGTTTCTTCCCTCTCACCTTCGTCACCCGGCTGTCTTGAGTGGTTCATACCATCACTGCCGCTGTCATCCTCATGTACATAATCAGAAGAGGGATTAGTGAGAAGGAAGTAAGAAACGAGCCGTACTACCTGCCTTTGTTTTCGCATGACAATCCACCCCACTCTAACCACCAATTGCATTCGACAACCACCTCCATTTCAGCTGCCTTGTTTTTATCTCAGCCAGCCAGACAGACAGACGAACATTTGTCATTTGCGCCTTCCACTGCTGATGCTGCCAACTCTTAATTTTCCAATATTTCCTTTCTTCTTTACGCAACTACCAGCCACCTCTACTTGATTGATTATTTGCCCAACCAACCATCAAACCCTCTTGTAATTTACCTTCTGTATACATGAGAGATTTCATCAGAACGCTGTTTCTTTATCGCTCTTTTACGGGTTCTGTTACGTTTTTAACTAGCATGAGCACTTACCGCCTGTGATGATGTTTTAACAATATTGGACTTCCAAGGCCAAAAACTGAGGGAGGTTCTATCAGCAATCAACGTGACTGCTGTCTCCCAGTAATTGATTTGAACAGTTTCAGATAGCACTAAATTCTATTATAGTAGGGCTACTCTAGATGATTCGCTTAAAATGCAGTTAATGTTCTTAGAGGTTTACGTAATATGGAAGCCTTTCCGAGGTCGGGTGACAGGGAGCTGAGTGGACAGGGGGTTGCAGTTAGCCACTTTAAGGGGCAAGAGAGAAAGAGTGAGCGAGGCAATGATGCTAGTTAAATTTAAGAGAACAAGGAACAGGCAGCGTCAAGACCTTTTGCGTTTAGTGAAAAACAAATAGTGAATAGCAGTTGTATGACGTTCAGGACAAAACAATGTATGCCCCTGTGAGAATGATGCCAACTTTTATTGATATTACGATACAAAGTAATGAGAGAGGTTATATGAATTGCGGCCACCTGTTGTAACGGCTATGTGCTCCCGAACACCTTGTTTTCATTCGCATTGATAAACATACGGCCTTGGATGCTGTTCTTAACTGTGCTATATTTATATATATATAGCTTCTATTACCCTCACCCCTCCCTCTCATGATCCCATTCTCAACAATATCTGCTCATTACGGATGCCTTCCTTCTGACTTGTCATGAGGATCAGAAGTAAGAGAGTATAGGTTTTAGCAGACCCAAGGAATCTTTTACAAACCCAGGACATGGGAAGAAAAAAATTTAACTAATATGGGACTAGGTTGTGGTAGTGTACTCCATAAGCTTAAAAAATTAATAATAAAAGAGATACCATTTAATTAGTCATTGTGTTGCTTTGATCTATTAAGTTTCAGGAATAAAAGATGAACAAAACCATTTAACTACCGCTTCAATGTGAATAGAATTTTAAAAAAGAAATCTTCCTGTGCATTAGAGTCTTGGAATATTATTTGATTCACTCCAGAAGTAAATAGGAGATATGTTTGTACCAGCATTCGCACAAAGAAGAATTGGGAAATAAATATAAGAAATCAACGTGTAGGAGAGTGAAAAAATTTCAGTCATGAAAAATTTACAAATCTGTAACTGACGAATGACAATTTTATGAATTACTGTGAATTGTGAAGGTTAAAAACGGTGAATACATTTAAATATACCTTCATTGTGCAGACTAATTTCAATAGACGTTAAAAGTTCGTATAAAAGAAGTTCGAAACCAGTTAAGAAAGTTGAAAATCCAAAGGTTTGATGAAAATGTAATACAATGGCATGTCCTAAAAGGTTGTTATGTACCAAGGCTGTTGTTAAAGAATGAAAAGCTTATTTTAAAATCACTCAAACTTTCTACACATTGAATTATGAAAGTTAATATGGGAATAGATAACGTTTCGTAAAATTAAGGATGTGGTTACCATAGAATAGAAGATTGTTACAGCATAGGTTACAATCATATGGTAAACTATAAATGGAAAATGTTCTTCATAAACTTCCGAGGCACTTAGGGTCACTTAACACTATGAAATGTGAAAAGAAATTAAATTTTAAACATATATGAATCGTAAAATGCAAACCTTCAGACCGGAGAGTAAGTCAAAAATTATCCAAGATAATAAATGCGCCGTCGAACAAATGGACCAAGGACAACTCCGTACGACAAGGACCAGTCTTAGGTGGTGTGAGTATCTTGGGCATTCCTTCATCACTTTTCCTACTTATCTGTTTTACATAATTTAGCAGAGATAAATCCTTCTATCTCAGGCCGGTGGCAGTGGTAGAAAGGGAAATCATTACTCATTTGACTAGCTTTACATATTTAAGCAGAAATGATAGTTGGTGACAGCAATGTTGACAAATATGTCTCAAATATTCCTTTTCTAGGCGCAGAGGCAATTTAAATAATATTTTTCAATTAAAAGTGTTAATGCAAACTTATATTTATTGATAAAAATATAATCTAGAGAACATCAAAAACAAAGCATGTTATTCGTTTATATGTGCTGTCACGTATGCACATCTTCGGATAGGAATGGCTTCCGAGGCGTATAAGTCTTATTTTGCAAAATTCATTTCCGTGAAACAAGAGTTTCCTCAAGCTATACAGAAGTTTATTACTTTTGTTCGCGAATTTGACTTGGGAAAAGCGGATATTGCTATTATTGAACAGGGACTAACTGATCTTTCGAACAATGAAGTAGACTTTAACGCCGACGATTTTTTATCGAAAATCGATGAATTTTGTGAATCTTATGATATTAAAATAACCGAGATGAATAATGTATGGTAGGCTTTTATTAACTTATATCTTTTAGCTGTTTGAAAGCCTTGAAGAGAACCTGCAGATTTTGCAACAGCTGAAAAATTTTTTGAACAAAGATAACAAGAGGAAGCTTCAGTGTATTATTACCGACTTAACTTCTCCCACTGGTGGCAATGAAAACAATCGAATTTCTTCAAGTGCTAATCCTTCCTCTTCAACTTTTTCATCATCAAATCATCTTAAAGCAGCTCGAAGGTCAGTTCAGCAAGCTCGTCGTTCGACCGCCTCAAATTTGAATATGCGAGGACCTAAACTTACTCCAGGTCGTCGAGGTGCTCTATCCTCTCGTGGTTCTTTTCGAACAATAAAAAATCGGGGAGTAATACCGCCTTCCTCTCGTTCACGCTTGGAGGCAATCCATGGCAGAAACCAAGAGCATCGTCAACAGCATCAAGCTGCCGAAAATCGACTTTCACCTCCTTCTCCCGATGCGTCAGATCATTTTTCAAGTGATAACGATTCGGAAAATGAAAATAGAAAATGTCCAGTTTCAAGGAGTGGTTCTTCACCTGTTCGCAACCGAAGACAGCGAGACAATGGTGGCGACGGAAATGGAGAGAGGATTTACTGTCTTTGTAAGAGTTATTCCTATGGTGACATGATTGCTTGTGACAATAGTCGATGTAAAATCGAATGGTTCCACTTTGCCTGTGTGGATGTCAAGGTTCAACCTAAAGGCAAGTGGTATTGTCCTAAATGTAGAGGGGAAACATCTAAAATAAAACGCCCCGATGTATAAATATATCATTTTACTCATTTTAACTACATAAATGTACATACTTCTCTCATGTATTTTTAATAATAATTAAGGCTTTCACACCCATCTTCTTTATTGTTTATTTGTAAAATTGATTTATGCTTAAATGATTCCACTCTTTTGGTACGTTTTGTCCTCTCAATCATTCGATTTAAAACCAGTGTACTCAACCTCGTCTTACGAAACACAAAGACAGACTACAATAGTTTGCTTTCCCATTATTTAATTGGGCTCATCTGATTTGGACGTAATCAGGCGTTGGAAGTACGTTGATTAAGTTTAGGGTATTATATATTTAACTAGGGGGTGTGCGATAGACTTACCTCCACGTGGTGCACCCTGGGCAACGTATATTCATACGGCAAAAAAGTCTGTTAACTGGCAGTTGACTTCTCACTTCAGACTACCCTCACCCCATTGTATGTCATATTGCACAGCTTTCACAGTACTCACTTCACCTTTTTCTACCTTCGTCTTTGAAGCACTCTTCTGTTCCCCTCCCCCCTCTCGACTTTTTTTCCCACTTTGATGTTCCTTCCCCTATGTAAGACTGAAGTCAACTAAAGGGCTAATGATAACCATCAAGACGCCTGCCATTTGATATAAATAAATATATTTAACTAGTAATGATTGGTTCTCAGAGTGATGGCAGCCAA